GTCCCTATCCCTTCAACTGTGTATAATAAATGTCTGCTAAATAATGTGAATATATTTTCCTTTGGGGTCATTAAAATTAGGAAGAAGATACAAACTTTAATGGGACTACAGTGAAAATAAAAGTCTGTTTATGATACATTTATTAAATACTGTTATTAAATTTATTAAATGTTATAAACAAATAATTTTCTGAATTAGGGTAGTGGTTGTATGAGTAGAGAGAGGGGGATATATTCAAGAATTATTGTGGAGAAAAGAAATTACAACATTTAGGCAACTGATTGTCTTCAACAAAAGACTGGATGACTATTTGTTTTGTATGTTTCAGAGGGAATTCCTGCTCAAGTATGTTCAGGTTCCTTAATGGTATACTCATTCCTCCTCTATTATTTCACCCAAATAACTTTCCAAACAAGAAAATAGTTGATCCTACAGTATCATGTGCCAGTCAAACAACATCAAGAGTGTTAAATCCAGCACCATATTTTAAGTTTTATTTTGAATTTCAAAACACCAAACAAAGGATTTCCACATATAAAGTAGAAAAGGAAAAAGGTTTCATGTGAAATTTTACATCTTTATTCCATACAAATTGCTTTTTAAAAAAATATATGATAAATTTAGCATGTCACTTTCAAAGCTGTCTTGTTTGTGTTTCCTTCTAAACTTATCTATTTTCTATACATTGTGAAAATTACTTCAATGACCCTCTTTTTTTCCTATTCTTTTTTTTTGGCAACACTGTTACTAGCTCCACTTCCTCAGCTTACCCCTCCCCACACCTAAATAGGAAAAGGAAAACTACAATCCTTGTAACAAGCAAGCAAAGACCATCACAATGGACCTATACATTTACCAGGTCCAAAAATGTATGTCTCATCTTGCTCTTTGAATTCATCACCTCTTTGTCAGGAGATGGGTAACAGGTTTCATCACTGATCCTCTGGATTCCTCATTTGTCATTGCATTGATCAAGAGTTCTTAAGTCTTTCAAAACTGTTCTTTACAATGTTATTGTTACTACATAAATTATTCACCTGGTTCTGTTCACTTCTCTCTGCATCAGTTCATGCAAATCTTTCCAGATTCTGCTAAAACAGAGCTTCTTAAACTCTTTCCATTTTCAACACCCTCAGCAATTCCTAAACTCTGGGTATGGGGTTGCAACCCACAGTTCAAGAAGTGCTGTTCTAAAACCATTCCCTTTATCACTTCTTACAGCACAATAGTATTACATCAAATTTATAAACCATAATTTGTTTAGCCATTCCCCAATTGATGGGCACCATCTTTGTTTCTAGTTCTTTGCCATTACAAAAAAAAAAAGAGCTTCTATAATTGTGTATATGTCAGACCTTTTCCTCTTTGTTTATTGCTTTGGAATCTAGGCCTAATATTGTTAGTTAATAGGTCAGAAGGTACATTCAGTTTAGTAACTTATTTGATATAATTCCAAATTCTACCCAGAATGCCTGGATAAAACCACAGCAGAGATTTTAATGAAGGACATTGGCAAACTGGAGCATGTTCAGAAGAAGTTGACTAAGACAATGAGAGTATTTGATGTCATTCATATGAGAAACTTTTGAAGAATGTGGGACAATTTAATCTAAAGAAGAGATTCAAGGAGCTGTTTTCAAAAGATCATGAATGGTCTTACCTAGTATGACTCCAGGGGGCAGACCTAGACCAGTGTGTGGAAGTTACAAGGAGACAAATTTCAAATCGGCATAAGGAAGAATTTCCCAACAATAATGACAACTAGTGTTCATATAGTCCTTTAAGTTTTGCACTGTGCTTTAAAAATATTATCTCATTTGATCCTCCTAGCAACCCTGCAAGATAGATGCTGAAATTGTCCCCATTTTATAATTGGGAGAACTGAGGCGGACAGAGATTAAGTGGCTTGCCCAGGGTCACATAGTTAATAAGTATCTAAGGCTAGATTTGAATTCAGATCTTCCTGACTCCAGGCCCAGCACTCTATCCACTGCACAATTGAGGCTGCCTTATGAAATAATAAGTCCTGTTCCTGGAAGTTAGATTAGATGATCCCTCCCCAAGGACAGTATAGATGGGACTCATTCTATAGGTGGGAAATTTGAATCAATCACCAGATATTTTTAAGGCATTACTATACATCAGGAATTATGTTAGGTGATAAGGATACAGATACAAGAACAAGATAGAGCAAGATCAGTCTGCTCTCAAAAACCTTTTTCTTTTAGAGGGATACAATATATTCACAAGAATAGCCTTTGAGTGCCTTCCAACTCTAGAATTCTGTTGAGTTTACAATTCTGCAAGCATTCAATCAGTTAGTCAACAAGCATTTATTGAGTTTACCAGGCATTGTGCTGAGTACTGAGAATGCAAAGAGAGGAGGTCTCATATCCAAGATATAAGAGTAACGTATTGAAACGTATAAGACTAAGAGCCATTCCCCAATTGAAAACCGCCCAAAGGATATGAACAGGTAATTTTCAAAGGAAGAAATCCAAGCTCCAATATTCATATGAGAAACTGCTCCAAATCACTAGTGATAAGAGAAATTAGAATCAAAGCTACGCTCAGGTTCTATGTTATGCCCATCAGATTGCCAAAAATTACATGAGAAAAATGATGAATGTCAGAAGCATACTAATGCATTGTGGGTGAAGCTGTAATTTGGTCCAGAGATTCTGGAAAACAATTTGGAATAATGCCTCAAATGTTAGTAAACTGTGCATAGACTTTGACCTAGTGATACCACCACTAGGCAGGACCCATGTGCACAAAAACATTTATAGCAGCTCCTTTCCTAAAAGTACCAAACTGGAAACTAAGGGAATTCTGACCTTTTGAGTATGACTCAACAAATAGTGGCATATAAATGTAATTGAATATTATGCCATAAGAAATGACAAAATGGACAGTTTCAGATGATATGGGGAAGACCTCTATGATCTGATGCAGAGTGAAATGAGCACAACTCAGAGAAAAAAAACTGATATAATTATAACAATGTTATTGAGAAAAACAACTTGGAAGGACAACTTTGATGTGGGCAATCATAAACCATGAATCTAGGTGAAGATGCCTCTTGCCAGCGAAGCGATGGACATAAAATGCAGAATGAGACATTCATTTTTTGGCGTGGCCAATATGCAAATTTGTTTGCCAGCCTGTGTGTATCTATTGTAAATGTTTTTCAAATTAATTAATAGGGGGAGGAAGTAGGAGGGAGACATGATACATTCTTCTTCAAATAAATAAATAGATGAAAATTTAAAAAGAAAACTAGAAGAGACAAATCAGAATAGATGTCCTCAAAATATTAAGAACCTTGTCCTCTAGTGGCAGTGATCTCACTATCAGTCCCAGATTTTTTTCTATGATTATTATTTTTTAAAAATTCTTCAGGTAATTTTGGAAGAACAATCAAACATTTTACTTAATTGTGGAATTAAATTATTTGTGTAGGAACCATAGAAACAAAATGAGAAAACTGAGAGGGATTTCTAAGACAATTCATTTCATTCTCTTGTGTTATGGATAAAGAAATTAGGACCCAGAGAAAGAGGAGTGATTCACATGGGGGGATGTTTTTGGAAATTATTATCATGTTAATGATCAAAGCCACAGTGAATGTCAATAAATAACATAAACAACTAAGAGTGACCTAGGATATCCTGGGGGAAAAACGTTCCAGGTTTAGGTAGAAACCTGGATCTCACTATGGTCTACTTTGATTTAATGTGGGTCTCCTCCAACAAGCTTCCTGGAAACTTTTATGTGAATTTCTTTCATCCTAGCTACAGCTCCATATTGCCGGTAGGTTGAAGATGAAGAAAAAATGTGTTCTCTAGTTGTCGTTATTTAGTTATTTTTCAACGTGTCAGACTTTTCGTGATCCCGTTTGGGGTTTTCTTGGCCAAGATACTGGAGGGGTTTGCCATTTCCTTCTCCAGATCATTTTACAGGTAAAGAAACTGGGTTAAATGACTTGTCCAGGGTCACATAGCTGGTAAACATCTGAAGCTGGATTTGAATTTACGACGAGTCTTCCTGATTCCAAGCCCAGTGTTCTATGCACTATGGCGCCACTGACACTAACTATATGACCATGAGCACATCATTTAATTTCTCTGAGCCTTAGTTTCTTCATCAATAAAAAGAAGGGGCTGGATTATATAGCCTCTAAGTTCCCTCCTACCTCTTAATCTATGATTTTATGACCTCTTCAAGGTCATCTAGAAAATTGGTGGTGCCAAAACATGGGAAGCATTTCAGCACCCAAATCCTATGTCATATATGTTGTGTGGGTATCTGGCCTTTGAGAACCAACCTGTGGAGACTAGTGTGTGGTCCAGGGGCAGGTTGCTATTCACAATGCAATACCTGTAGCCGCTGATTTAAGCTGCTTCCTCCTAAATCTGACATGATGCAGTAACATTAAAGGAGCCCCTCATTCCCTGAACAATAAGAAAGGCCTGGGAAGTTAATGAAAAACCATAGGGAGCTCATCCTTCTAGCGGTTAAGTTGGAGGAGTTGCCCCAGCCTGGGTAATATTTGGAGAATGGACGGTCCCTATGTGCTTGGCCCTCATGAGGAAGAGAGTAAGGATCAGAAGGTCAGAGTGGAGAGTGGATAAAACCTAGGCTTGTCCCCGTCATCACTTCAGTCAGGGGTCCAAGAGGTGAATTTAGGTTGTTTTTTTTTTCTTTTGGATGGGTGGATTTCCTAATAATTAGAGTAGTCCAAAGTAGAATGGTGGTGGGTTCACTCTGCTTAGAGGTCATCAGAAAGAGACTAGATGACAACTTGTCAGATAGGTTATATAACTGATTCCTTTCATTCATGTTTAAAATAACAACAACAACAGTAATAACAGTATTTATATACTTCTTTAAGGTTTGCAAAGTGCTTTACAAATGTTATCTCTTTGATCTTCACAACAACCCTGGAAGCTAGGTGCTATTATTATCCCCATTTTACAGATGAGGCAAACAGAGGTTAAGTGACTTGCCCAGGTCACACAGCTAATAAGTATCTGAGGTCACATTTGAACTCAGATCCTCCTGATTCTAGGTTCAGTGATGGCTACTGATGTTCTTTTCTGACTCTCAAATTCTGTGATCTGAAGAAGAAAGAAGCTGAGAGCCAGAGGCTAGACAGAGCCATCTCTCCAATAGGTTGCTAGGGGAAGTTAAAGCTTAGGCACATTGTCGGAAATAGAAGTCAGTGATGACAGATTCAGAATTGTCAGGATGGTTGGTGAGGGTGACAGGTTGGTTCTCCTCATGGATACTGCAGAGGAACCAGCCTGGGTAGATGGCTGACTCTAATCTAGAGGTAAGTCCGGTGTTGCGCATGTAGAAGGTGAAGCTCTTGGATTCCTCCTTGCTGCGATAAAGGTCCATGATGTTCTTATGCTGAGGGCAAAGAGGCAAGAGGACATAGGCAGACTATCTTCTGAGCCTACTGACCTCCTTGAGGACAGAAGGGATCACTGAAGGATTCCCTAGGGGAGGTAAACTTCAAAGGCATTTAGAAGTTAATGTAGATGGGGCTTCCCTGCCCCCTCCCCAAGCATTCACTACTAGTTTGATGAGGGACAAATCTCAACTGACTGCGTCCTGGGTCTTGACCCAAGGCTATGTGTTGTAAACCAAGATTCAGGTATCTTGGAGGCATTGCAGGTCAGAACTCACCTCTATCTGAAGAATAGGCTGCTGAGCTATCCCAACTGACAGACACTGGGAGCCTCCCTCAATGCCCAGGATAATCGGGGACCGTTTGGCATCCAGTGACCTATTGGGGACCACGCTGATCTCTTCACCTAGAAAAAGGGGCCAGATGGAGAAAAAGAGGACCTCTCTTCTAACCTTTCTAATCTATGGGTGAGCCTGGGGAGCAGGACCCCCTAAGTTCCTACCTGTAGCACTGGGAGAAGGTAAGGGGCTGCCTGACTGGAATGATTAAATGTACCCTTACTAACTGGTCCAGGGAATGCGATCTCATTTAATCTGGCTGAACAGGAGGACAAAAAAAAAATTCTGATTGAATTCATTTGAATTGGGGAGTGGAATGGCCCTCCATCAAGGAGGAAGAGTGTTGTAATAAAGGACCTTCCTTTTTTTTGAGTACCATCCACTCATTCAGTCAGTTTGGCTTATTTTGTGTGTTATTCACAGAGCACTGACCTTGGAGTCATGTGACCTGATTTCAAATTTCAGCTATGCCACAACAAACTGTGAGACTTTGGACATGTCACTTAACTTCTCTGCTGGAAAAGGAGCAGATTGGACTAGATCAGGGCTTCTTACATTTTTTCCACTTGTGACCCCTTTTTGAGTTTCAGCAGAGTACATAGGGGTCGCATGGCCTGAGGGCATGCACAGTGCAACTGTGCCCATGCTTTGTGTTTTGAACCAAGGCTGCAGTGAAGTTGCATGATGCAACATGGGCAAGCACTGCCAGAAACACCTCAGGTTCATTATGCATTTGATTTTTAATTAATTTTTGGCCATTGTGCATTCAGAAACCTTTTTACTGTTGCTAAATTTTTCACGGCCTAGTATGGAGTAGCAAACCACAGTTTAAGAAGCACTGCACTAGATGAGCTCTAAGGTACACACCTGTCTAGATCTAGGAGTATTTAAGCCTCTGGTTCTTTGTTGAAGACACAACTGTGAAGTGGTGTCCAGTTTCCTCAACATCAGTGAAAGGTGTCTACGCTACTTGAGCATCATTTAGAAGATATGTAGTACTAATAGGCTATTATGTGGATGCCATGAGAAAGTCCTCTTTCTCCCAAACATCCCTCCCAACACACACACACACACACACACACACACACACACACACACACACACACACCCCAGCCTTCCATGGTACCTGGACTCTATTAAAATGAAGATACTCTCAAAGGGCTAGAACATTATCAGCCCTGAAGGAATTACTTATCCATATATTTTCTTGCCTGGCAGCTGGAGATACAAAGCAGATAAGTTTCAATAAGGCAGAAGGCAGAATGGAAGTTCTGGAAAGTGGGTGCTTATTGTCTCTGGTTCTGAGCATCCAGGAATGTGCCAGATATCTGGATGAGCAGATGACACAAGGCAAGAGAGACACAGTAGGAAAAACTCTGCCTCCTTCCCAAGGCACAAATGTGCTTGCCTTGCTCTGCTATATCCTCTCTTTCCAGAGCATATGACTACCCGTACCCAGATCCTCTCAACCATTAGGAGATCAGTGAATGGGAAAGGCAGGAATATGCTCCACTTTATCTCTAACAGCTAGAGGAGAAGCAAAGACCTCTCTACCAATCTCTTCTCCCAGGAAAGCAAAGGGCCTGGTCTGGACAAAACCTAAATATGGAGAAAAGTCCTTCTATGTGAGAAAATGTTCCCAGCCCTTCAAATGTCATAGCAACATAGTATAAGAATGTTTGGGGACCTGTTGAGATATAGTCTCTTTGTTAGAGGCTTTTGATTTGTGCTTTCAGGATAAATGACTTCATGAAGTCTGGAGCCTAGGTGCCCTCCAACTCTTAAGATCCTACTTTAAATATAACTTGTATTTCTAGGGTCTGGGTCTGTGAGCCTGTGCTAGTCTGCATGGTGATCCTTTCTGTACTCCCAAGAGACAATATGGAGAAAGCCTGGCAAAACTGAGATTGGTTTTGTAACTAACCTTCGATAAGTTTTCCCGCTTGCGCTCTTCCAGCCAAGAGCTGGTTATTCTGCACATAAATGGCCTTCATTGTAGCATCTTTTATTCTGAAACACAAGAGTCTGTTTAAGTTTGATGAAGTCAGCAACTGGGCCTTCCGTGGTGCAATGAAAACAGCCTTGGATCCCAAATCAGAGGACCCAGGTCAGAATCCAGGCTCTGTGGTTTACTCTCTTGGTGACCTGGAGAAAGGCTCTGAGTTTCAGTGTCCTCCTTTATATGAGACAGAAGAGGAAAAGGGGATCAGGAGGTGAACTTGATTTGTTTTGAGGGTCATAAATCAGCATTTATTATTTAAGTTGAAGAACAGGTTATGAAGGGGGTTGGGGAGAGCCCTAGGGGAGACGGAAGAAGGGAGGAGACAGGAAGATGAGAGTGTCTCCTCTGTGTCTTCTCTAGAAGGGCTTGATCCTGATTTCTGAGCCTTGGTCCAGGACGCACAATGAAGCACATGATAAAATGAGGTTCCAGGGGCTACAGATATAGGAAACATCAAGGGGTGGCCAAAGTAACACATCCAACCAGAGGTGGGGGCTGGGATTCTCCTTGGATGAGCAACACCTTGTCCTTTTAGGAACTGAAGCATAGTGATAAGTCCCATCCCACTAATTTCAGCTCTTACGAAACATTCTTGTAGCACAAGTCTTTATGCTAAAGAATTCCTTCATCACCCCTCCAACTTCTTGTACTTTGCTTCTAGTTTCTTTGAACATGCATCTAACTTGCAAGCTGCCTGCTCCAGAGCTCCTACTTGCTCCTCAGTTAAAGTGCTCTGATCCAGATAAGGCTGAAGTGTTGCTGATTTCTACTTATGTTTACTTCAATATCTTTCATTTCTAGATACTTCAAGCTAGTCTATTTGTTCATACTTTCCCGAAGTTTATAGTCTTCACTGGTGGATGTAAGCTCGCCTGTGAGGTACATGGCCATTTTGGAGAACATGACCTGGCATAGTCCCATGATGTCTGCCTCAGTGGGCTCCATAGCCTCCTTGGCAGTCTCCACCACAGCATCGGCTAGGCTGGGGAAGGGAAAAAGGACAATGGATGGAGGGAAGGATGAGGATGGCAGAGGAGGGGGAGAGGGAAGGGAAAGGAGAGAGGAGAGAAAGGGAGGGGGGAGTGGAGGGAAGGCAAGAAAAAGGGAAGGGTGAAGAATCAGAGAAGGAGGTAAGGGGAGGGGGTGAGGAGGGAGGCGGCCTGAACTTGTTTTTAAAAATATTTTGATAACTATTTCAATATAATTTGCTTCATTTGTAATCCTGTGTATTTTCTACTATGTACTTAAAAACATTATTCCCTGTTTCATAAATGGTCAAAGGATATGAACAGGCAGCTTTCAGACAAAGTAATCAAAGCTATCTACAGTTACATGAAAAATGCTCTAAATCACTATTGATTACAGAAATGCAAATTAAAACAACTCTGAGGTATCACCCCACACCTATCAGATTGGCTAATATGACAGAAAAAGGAAATGACAAATATTGGAGGAGATGTGGGAAAATTGGGACTAATGCATTGTTGGTTGAGTTGCAAACTGATGTAACCACTCTGTAGAGCAATTTGGAATTGTAGCCAAAGGCTATAAAACCATTTGCCCAGGAATACCACTGCTAGGTTCTGAATCTCAAAGAGATAAGAAACAAAAAGGAAAATGACCTATACGTACAAAAATATTTATAGCAGCTCTTATTGTGGTGGAAATTGAGGGAGATGCTCATCAATTGGGGACTGGCTGAACAAGTTATGGTGTATATTGTGATGGAGTACCATTGTGCTATAAGAAATGATGGACAGGATGCTCTCAGAAAAATCTGGAAAGACTTACATGAACTGATGCGAAGTAAAATGAGTAGAACCTGGAAAACACTGTACACAGGAACAGTGATATCATGTGATGATCAATTGTGAATGACTTAGCTATTCTTAGCAACAGAGTGATCCAAGAAAACCCTGAAGGACTTATGATGAAAAATGCCATCCAGTTCCAGAGAAAGAACTGATGGAGTCTGAATGCAGAACAAATCATGCTTTAAAAAAAACTTCTTTATTTTTCTTTGGTTTTTTTGAGGGAAGAAGGGGTTCTATATTTTCTTCTGTAACATGACTAATGTGTTTTGCATGACGGCACATGTATAACCTATCAAATTGCTTGCCTTCTCAATGAGGGGAGACAGCAGGGAGGGAGAGAATTTGGAACTCAAAAATTTTAAAAACAAACCTTAAAAATAGTTTTCATGTGTAAATTGGGGAAGAATAAAATATTAAATAAATATAACAACATTATTCTGAAAAGGAGTCCAAGACTTCACCAGACATTATCCCAAAAGTTAAGGACCCCTGGATTAAAAACATCTCTAAAGTACCTTTGATCTCTAAAGTCTATGATTCTTTACTTTCCTCAAGATTAGGCCCATTACTCTTTCCCCCTTACTTTTGTCCCTACTAAGCTCCTCTGACTTTTTCTCCAACCTCTGTCTCTATGCCCATTTTACTAATGAGACATTTCTCTCCCAGCTCTTCTGAACTGATGCACAACCCAATGGGCTCACCTCAAAGTCCCTATCCAGACACCAAAGTCCATTTTCCTTCCCTCTTCTGTTCTATCTCATTTGCTATAACCGGCTTCCTGGGGGAAGTAGAATGGAAGGACCTAGGAGTTGGGAATCTTGATCTCTGGACCCTGTTCTTCCATCACTTAAATGTATGGCTTTGCACAAACCCCATCACCTCTCTTGGCCTCAATTTCTCTATCTGTAAAATGATGGTGTTGGACCAGAAGCTCTCTAAAGTTTCTCTCCAAGTAAGTTTTCTTCCTCACTCTTCACATTTTTGTCATAACGTCTCTGTGTCTCTAATAACAATTCCACATATTTGGGATTTCCACTCTCCCACCTACTACCTCATGCAATGCCCACAGCATTCAGCAAATGTTTCTTGAGAGTCCATCCTGTGAATGGAGTGCACAAGGTATGAGGAGGGAAGGGAGAGGAGGCTCAGATTAAATTAGACAAGATCCTGTCTTAATAAAGAGCATTCCCACATTGGAGGTGAGACAATTATCTCCATTTGACAGCTGAGATGATATAGAAAGCAAAAAGGGAGTTGGACCAGGAGAGAGGAGACTCCCATTTCAATACTTGGCTTCACCACAAGCTTGCTGTGTGACTTGGGAAAGTTGTATAACTTCTCTGGGCCTGTTTCTTTCTTTTTAAAATCGAGATTGATACTGTCAAAGTTGAAATAGTTATATCCCTCATTTAAAAATAATCAATAAGCTTGCTGTTTTTTGTTTGGGGGGCATTATTTAGATGTTTACTAGAAAGCCTCTGCTGCATTGAAACAAAAGGTATCTATATTTTTAAAGTATAAAAAAGGAAATGGTTAGACTAAATGAAACCTAGAACCTTTTTTTTTGTTTAGTTCTGACATTCTAGAATTCCATGAAACTAAGACACAGAGAAGTTACTCCTTTGTTGGTCACACAGCTGAGTTAATGGTAAAGACATACTGGTCTTCTGTTTCTTGCCCCGGGTCGGAGTAGCAGTGGATAAAACTCTGAGCATGGAGTGAAGAAGACCTGAGTTCAAATCTAACTTCAGACAATTATTAGCTGTATGACCCTGGACAAGTCACTTTAAAAAAAAAACTCTGTCTTCCTCAGTTTCCACAATTATAAAATGAGGTTTATAACATCATCTACCTCCCAGGGTTGCTGTGAGAATCAAATGAAATAATATTTGTAAAGTACTTAGCACAGTGCCTGGCACAAAGTAGGCATTAAATAAATGATTACTTCTTTCTTCCTTTTGTCCTTCCTTTTTTCTTTCCGTCCTCCTTCCTTTTCTCTTTCCTTCCCTTCTTCCCTCTCTCCCTTCTTTCCTCCTTTCTTTTTTCCTTCCTTCTCTCCCTTTCTCTCTCTCTCCTTCCCTTTAATCCTTTTTTCTTTTTCTTTTTCCCTTCCTCTAATCTTTCCTTCTTTCCCTCCCTCCCTTCATTCCTCCTCTATCCCTCCTTCCTTTGCCTTCCATCTTTCCCTCCCTCCTCCCTCCTTCCCTTCCTTCCTTCCACACTGGCACAATGGTATAGTGGAAAAAGGCATAGGGTTTAGAGTCTGAGAACCTGGATTCAAATCCCACTCTGTGATCTTGGGTAAGTTTTTTTGAGACTCCATTTGCTCATCTATAAAACGGAGGAACTGGACTTGATGATCTCTAGGGTTTCTTCTAGCTTTAGAGTTCTGAACTCAGGAGACTTTTTAGCATTAGCCATGTAAGTTTGCAGCACAGTGAGGAGGGTCTCAGTTTCCTCATATGTAAAATGAGAGAGTTGAACTAAATGATCCCAAAGATCCCTTCCAGCTCTAAATATAGGGATCTTGTGCTCCCCTAAAGTGGCCAGTATCAGAAACAGGTCAGTCATGTAGTCAGTCAACAATCACAGAAGCATGTGATGTGAGCCAGGCATTGAGGAAAGAAAAGCAAAAATGTAGAGTCCTGGCTCTCAAAGAATCCACATTCTAAGTTGGAGAGACAATGAAAACAATTATAAAGTCTAATTCCCTATGAGGCAGGGGTACCCCAGGATAATAAATTTTAAGAAGCAATAGCACAAGGCCAAGAGGTTTTGCTAACAGTTACTGGCACCCACTGTTTGAAACTAGAGTCTACAGAGAAACCCTAGGAACTCACCCATTTGAGCTCCACCAATTCTGAAGGGATGACAACGATAGTAGGGATGCAATGGCAGTGGGAGACCTCCCCTCTAGAACTAGGCTTTGCCTTGATCATACAGCATTTTATAGAATTTGAACAGTTTTGGTCAGAGAAGACTCACCGGAAACATAAGGCCTTGTTTAGAACCATCTTGAGCTCCCCAGTTTGGAGGATCTTCTGCCTTCTGAAAAAAAAAGAAAGCCCTAATTGGGGGGGAGGGGTAGGATCTAAGTTGTTATGAAAAGGAAGAGGAGGCAGGTCCCTGAAGCTAAACAGAAGGTTGAGACCCCAGCAGGAACCTGACCTCAAGTCCCCTTTTCCACCTTGCCCCTTCCTCTCTGTAAAAAGGAAAAGGAAAACATGTTCCCAGCCCAAGGAAAGGTGGAGAGGAGCCACTTGGAACAGTTCCCAAAGCCACCTTGGAAACAGCAAGGCATTAGAAAGTAGAGCTATGAAACACCAGAGTCTGCCCTGACAGTACCTTTTCTGCCTTCTGCTCCAAGTCAATGCTCTATCAGCTCCTAAAGAGATCAGCTCATGCTATATAAGAAACAAGGGGAGGAGGAAAACCACTGACCCAACCCTTTCCATGCAGAGGGAAGTCCCAGGTTGGAACATGTCACTACAGCACCATGAGCATTCCTAGTAATTTAAGGACTTTCCAATTTCTCCAGAATACCTAATGAGTCAGTGTTAGTGGTAGCTTAGAAAAACATTGCCTATGGAGAATATCTTAGGACAGAGAGGCTTGTGACATGGGAGAAAGAGCTTGGAACTGGAATCAGAAGATGGGGGTTGAATTTTGGAGCTGCTATTTATTACCTTTCTGGGACTCAGTCTCCTGAGCTACAAAATGAAGAAGTTGGACTAGACAACCTTGGAGGTCATTTCCAGGTCTAGATGTGTGATCCTGTGAGCGAAGAGACCTGCTCCTTTGACCAGACTCCAGAGACACAACCTCTGCTCTTTCAACCTAAATGTCTCAGTGTAACTTAAGGAAACAACAGCAATTTGGGATCTGTCCAGGGTGCTTTGGAATCTCAACCTCCTCAGGCAAACTCCCTCATAGCCTTTGGGGGCTGGGGTAGGGACAGGGAGTGGACTTGATCTCTCTCGGTCCTCTCAGCTTTCTGGGGCCACTAGAATGTATTTTATCCTGAACTTTACCCCACACCCTCCTTGATAATTTATAATCTAAGTAGTTTTGTGGGAGTGGATCCTCTCTCCATCAACATAGATCACAGCCCTTCTGTAACTACAGGAATGGCCAAAAGTGTGGGGGCGGGGGGCGGAATTACCTGTGGCCAATCTGGGGATGAGCCCCTTAACTTAGCTAGTTTGCTCTTCAGATAAGAGATACACGATCTAGCCTTAGGGTTGTATTCAAAGCTAGCCAGCTTGGTAAAGAGGCAACAGTGGACAAAACTCTGGTTTTAGAGGAAGGAAGATCTGAGGTTCAAAGCCTTCTTTAGACACTTACTATGTGACACTGGGCAAATCACATAATCTTTGTCTGCTTCAGTTTTCTCATATGTGAAATGAGTGGGTTGAATGCAACAGCTTCCAAGGTAGCTTCCTACACTAAGCCTACTGCTAGCAAAGCCTTCAAGAAACAAAAATTAACAGCACATTATGATTTTTTTAATTTAATTTTTTCAATCAACAAAAATCAACTTTTTCTTCCTCCCACTTTCCTCCCCTCATCATGGGAAAAAGAAAAGAAAAACAAAGTCCTTGTAACAAATTTTCATAGTCAAACAAAATAAATAACCTGCACTTGTCATATCCAAAAAAATGCATGGCTCACCCTTTGAGTTCATCACTTCTTTGTATGCTTCATCATTGCTCCTTGGAATCATGGTTGGTCAATTACATTGATCAGAATTCTTGCATCATTCAGAATTGTTTGTCTTTACAATGTTGTTATCATATGAATTGTTCTCCTGGTTCTGCCCACTTCACTCTGTATCAATTCACATAACTCTTGCCACGTTCCTACAAAACCATCCCTTTCATCATATCTTTTTTTTTTTTTAGGCACACGTGGGAAGGGGATAAGTGGCTTGCCCAGGATCACACAGCTAGTAAGTGTCTGAGGTTGAATTTGAATTCAGATCCTCCTGACTTCAGAGATGGTATGCTGTCTACTGCATCACCAAGCTGCCCCCTCTTGTTATCATTTCTTGCATCATGAGTATTCTATAACATTCATAAACTATAATTTGTTCAACCATTACACAATTGATGAGTATCCACTTAGCTTATAGTTCTTTGCCCTCCCCCAAAGAACTACTAGAAATGTTTTTGTACCTTTGGGTGCTTTCCATCCTTCTCTGATCTATTTGTGATATAGCCCTAGGAGTGGTAATGCTATGTCAAAGGTTATGTCCAATTTGGTAACTTCTGAGCATAGTTGTAAATTGCTTTCCAGAATCACAGTTCCATTAACAGTGCATGAACTGTACCTGTTTTTCTGCAGCCCCACCGACATTTGTCATTTCCCCTTTTTAGTATCTTTCCAGTCTAATGGGAACACTATAGAACCAGAGAGTTTTTTAAATATGAATTTCTCTAATTGTTAATAACTTGGAGTATTTTTGTGTATGAATATTGATAGTTTGAATTTTTTCCTTTGCAATTTTCCCATTCATATCCTTTGACCATCTTGGGGAATCACTCTTATTCTTACAAATTTGAATTAGTTCCTCATAAATAATAGCTAGCATTTACATGGTACTTCAAGTTTGCAAAATATTTTACAAATATTATTTCCTTTTTTCTCCCCATTTTACATGTGAGAAAATGGAGATAGACAGAGGTTAGATGATTTGTCAAGGATTATACACTTAGTGCAGGTCTGAAGCCAGATTTAAACTTGGTTTACCTGACTCCAGGCCCAGTACTTTATCCATTATACTCCCTATCTGCAAGTGCCTTGGAAATATAACTTAGAAATGAGACCTTTATCAAAGAAACTTGCTGTAAAGATTTTCCCCTCCCCATTACCTGCTTTCCTTCTGATTTTTAGATACATTGGATGTTTTGTGTGTATGTGTGTGTAAAAACTTTTTAACTGCCCATCATTATGAGTCACCAGAGGATAATTTTAGTGGAGGGAAAGAGGGAAATCTATGACTCCAAGCCATAAAAGTAATAAATCAGTGATTCTCAAACCACTGAGCATTGCTAAGTATGCCATAAAGTTTTGGAAATTATGGTATTGCAAATTTTAAACATTATAATTATGGCTTAATATAAATTTTACTGACCCAGCATACTGAGTATCATAAGTTTAGTATTTGAAAAGCAAATTAACTTACTTATTACATATCAGACACATCAGGCCTTCAATCTCTCAAAGAACTCAATAGAATAGGCTTCTCATGTCGTATGATATCGTATCAAGTAGAAACTGTGCATGCATGAGTCTCTATCTCCTGTAGTGTTGCCAGATTAAGCATTCAGTGTCCCACAATTCCTCATGGCAAAGAATATTGAGACATGGACCAAAAAGTGGGAGAATTATTGAAATAAGGCTATAAAGCTTTAAGACCAAACAAAAATAAAGCTATGTGAGTAAAAGTTATAAACATACAAAAGCCTCAGAACGCTATCAAGTTCCTTAAAGCAGCAAAGGCTGAAACCAATGCCTCTGTCCCAGCCATGGTTTAATTGGTCCACAAAGCAGATTAATCCCAACTTTTCAGTCCAAATTAATCTATGACTTCCATCATTCTCCAGGACAAGGTCCTAACCCCACATGACCTCCCTGGCTTTTATTTTGTTGATATGTTGTGGTAGTGGTGGCGGGAGGTGTGAGTAGGAGATCAGGGAATCACTGATCAATTAATTTCCTCCCAGTTCAGTTGCTGTCATAGAAGATATGAAGCTGATAATAGAGAAAAAGGTATCAAAGCATCAGCTTTTTCGAGTTCTCCCCCCGCTTCTTCTTTCTACACAAAGTTTTAAATAGATGTAGAGAATATTAATCATTTACAAGATGTGAAAAAATTTCTCTCACCAAAATTGATGTAAGTAGAGAATAAAGATCAGTCCTGCTCTTGGTGGCCCTTTAAAAACTGAAACAAACTTGTTAGGAGTCCAGTGAGGTAGGAAATGGTTCTAAAGAATATGACACTGGGAGTAGAAAAGAGAGCCAGGGAATGGTCATCATTTGCAAAATGGAGATAATAATAGCACCTGCCTCCTGGGGTTGGTGTGAGGACTGAATGAGATGATAATCGTAAAGAGCTTAGCACAGTCTCTGGCACTTCGTAAGCAGCGTGTAAATGTTAGTTATTATTATTATTATTAGAATTTGAACTCTGAAGAGGAATAGGTCCAGAGAGACCAGCTGAGCAAGCTGCCCAGAGACACTTTGCCCAAGGAGAAAATCATGAGGATGTCAAAACAAGGGAAAGGATAATGGCGACCTACAATGCCAGAGTCACATCTATTGATGTACTCAATGGACACTCCACTCCTTCCACTGACACTGTGCTAATCTTGGGAGAGTGTGCCCCCCCTTTCATGGAGGAAATATTTTGTTATTACTGTTTTCTGATACTATCTCAGTAAATTCTTTGTTTTGAGCTAATCGTGTCTTCTTGGGTGACTATTAACACATAAGCACACTGAGCTGTAGTTTTAGGAGTGACGACTCACAGAGTACCTTATACCTGAGGGGAGGGGAAGAATAGCTACAGTTTTGAGGAACTATCTCACCAGTTTGAGGGGATTATACCTATAGTTGTATGTGCCATTTCCCCCAGTAAAATGTAAGCTCCTTGAGGGCAAGAACATTTTCATTTTTGTTTCTGTACCATGTTGCCTAACACCATTCCTGACATATAAGAGCTGTTGGAAAAATGCTTGTTGTTTGAGTGAATAATTGATTTCCTTATTGAGACTTGGAGCTACTAACTGCTGTCTAGCATCCTGCTTAGTCTCAAGCTGCACATATGTTTCTGTACCTCTTCCCAATTTAGATTTCCTCTTACTAGATTCCTCTTTCCAGGCTCGTTGCTAGGTGAGAATATAATAGACCAGCCTCCAGTATCGAGTGTCTTAGCTTGGGCCTTCCTTGTTCCCTACACCCACCTGTCAGCCTCAGTCCTGACTCATAATGAGACTTGGGAAGTGACATTAGAAACTACAACAATGCTTAGAAAATAAGCTAGGTGAACCAATGTTAGTCAATAAATTTTTGCAAAGATTAAATAGGGAAACAGTATGCACCTCAAAGAGCTTAGAATTTACTGGGATACGTTTCAGCTGTATGTAAAAGTACACAGATAAGTATAATCTGACATGAAATTGGGGAGAGGCGAAAGTGAAATCAAGACAAAGTATATAGACAGATAGATAGATAGATAGATAGATAGATAGATAGATAGATAGATAGACGGATGAATCAATAGATGGATGGATAGATGGATGGATGGATAGACAGGCAGAGAGATAGAGAGAGAAAGAGAGATCTTAATTAATGCAAATGAAAAATCTGCTGAAGTGATTGAATTG